TCAACTTCCCCAGTTAACAGTCTCCTCTCCAGCGCACTCTAGCGACTTCGATCTGCAACAAAATAGAATTAATACGCATTGAGACAGCCATATTTCCCTTCATTTCAAACCTCGATTCCTCCTAACTTGACAAATAAGTGTCAACAACCTTATTGCATTTTATTTCAAGCCTCTATAATTCTCTGAAGACACATGCAACACCCTGTATGAGTTTCTAAACCCACAATTAACGAAATCGCACAACTATGGATATCGCCAATCCCCATCGTTCGTGAAAGCAGGAGGAAATAAAACGAACCGCCGCCTATTTCCGTGGTGCAACGCCGAACCATTTTCCTCGAAGGTGTTCACGTAACTGTTCGTCGCTTTTCAAAATTAATCAGTCCCCCTCCCCTCCTCGAAGGAAGAGCTTTCAAATTTCTTTCGCAACGTACGTGGCGTTGGGCAAGTCGCGAAACGACGACATCGCGGAGAGGATAGTTTTATATACATTGTGCTCGTACTTGTGCGCGCAATTAGTCACGGTCGAAGATTCTGGCCAATTACGTTAACCAGGTTGACGGGGATATATCCAGAGCGCGAATTACCGTTTCCATACCGTCGCGGATATTTTAGATTTGCTTACTATTCTGCGTTCCCACGAACCTTTTTTGATATTTTATTAAAAAAAGAATGACACGAGTTGAATAAGAAGAGGGTATATTCGTGTTTGTATTAAGTGTAATTCGTATTGATGAGGTATTTTCTTACTTGGAATTTGAGATTGATCGTGCGTTTTCTTTGAAAGATTCTCTCTGAAGAATGCTAAGTTAAGTATTTATAGAATTCGAAGGATTAATCTTGGAAGTCCAGTTACGAGGAATAAAATTTATCGATTTATGACGAGGGATTGAAGATGATTGATACGCGATCTTGAGAAGATGAAGCGGAAAAACTTTCTTTCCAACGTTGTAGAAAACTCGATTGTGCTCGATCTAACGTCGATAAATTAATTACTCGTCATATTATTTTTCACTCGAACTTGTTAAGTAGTTTCTAGAAACGGAGATGGCATAAATTAACATTTACATGTGCATGATATTTTCTTTTAAATATAAACTTATTATTAAAAGAAGTAATTAAATTCTCTTAAGTAAATGAACATTATTTATTTATAAGATGACCCAATATGTGCACACGCTCTTGCACTCCTCCTCTATCTGCCGCCCTTCTATTCCTCCCCTCTTCTCCTTGTCCCTCCCCATTTCTCCCCACTCTACCACCCACTTCGATTTTCAATCGACGATTTTCCTCGAGGCGCAAACGACTCGAACCAACCACTATGTTCCACGCATTTTCTCGCTTCTCTTTCACGCACTGAATGCTATACGGTTCTGCGGTTTCTAGGATGATCCGCATCGCGCCACTGAAAAGAAAAAAAGAAAGAAAAAAAATTCGGTCAAGTCGTCGACGGATTAATTAAACGCCGGTTGCTTTACAGCCGTGAGAATGCTGATTTTTTTTTTTCTTTTTTCCCCCATTTTCTTTCTCCTTTCGAGCGGCAGAGATTTCTCCGTTTAAAACGGAGTTGCCGGTTATAAACACTGCATTAGAATTGCAAGCGAGATGCGGTCTCGAAGGTAGCGGATTTACTTGGAATCTAAGAAAGTTGTGTTCGAACACCAAGTCGCAGTTGTTTTTTTTTGTTTCAATTCTTCAAGGAATCGAAAGGATAGCGGGTTTTTTTGGATGGATAGGATCTTTTTGTGCAATAATTTATCAATTATGTATGTACTGTGTAAAATTGAAAGTAACAAGAATTTAAATCGATCAAAACTGAAATCAAAATTCAATATTAAATTTTCAATCGCGTTCAAGAATGTATTAAAGCACGTAATATGTAACCTAAATAACTTTTATAATACAGGTGAAAAAAGGTGTATTAAAATTAGTAGTTGTAAAAATAATTAAAATACATATATTCGTACTTACGAATCTATCTGAATATGAAAATAATGAAGAAGCACTTGCTATCTTAAATTAATCGCAAAAATTTTAATCATATTATTTTTAAATAAATATATTCAAGGTGGAAACAATTGATAGAACATCTGGCACACCGATCATTATTTCAATTTCTAATCCATTAAAATTATTAAAATTTATCGCTCCATCCCTCCATTGAATAGATTGCATTGAAAGCGATACTCTTCTCGTATTCGCGTTATCGATGCCTAATTGGCCGAATGGCAGGGAACAAGTCTTGGAATAAGCCCCCATCCGCCTGATACATCCTTTATCCCATTAGGCGTCATTGTTGGTGCAACGGAGATACGGGTTTCGCAATAATGCAGTGAACTTTTCTACGGGCCGAACGGCCTTGCCTTTTTACATCGACAACGGGTGTGTGTGGGTGTCACTTACTTTCCTGCCTTGAAAAACCTTTCACTGTTTTGCACCTACATAGACACGCGGTAGACAGCCGCGTGCCGTTGCCATAAAGTCAGAGAAATCTTGGGAGCTGTGTAACTCGTTCCATATACCGTTCAGCGAATTCTATTTTCTTGCTCGACATTGCGTTTATTCCACCTGGTATGCCGGTGTGTTACGATCGTGGGACACGGAAAATGGTAGGAATGATGTTTAATTGGAGGGAACTGTGTAAATTTTTGTTCTTTCATTTCATGCGTTTAGGAGATATATAAAAATTTTGTTTTTAACTTGTTGTAAGATCGTATTAATATTCGTAATGCTAGGTGTTTAGATATTAAGATTGATTTTTGAAATAATATAATTGATACAGAATGTTGCAAATAATTTTCTTTTTTTTTTTTTTCGAATAAGAGAGGATATAGGAGAAAATTAATTGTGTCTAATCTTTTTCAAAATGATTGTGAAATTTTTCTCGGAAAAATTATTGATCAAAATTCCGAGATCTAGTTACCCCTAAATTATTCCCTAGACAACATTCCTTATTTCGAACGATTGTTTCAATTCATGCAATGAAACTCTTTCCGTTTCGTTGCAGGAAAGTCCATGGAATGTGTAAATGTCACGTCATTTTAAACCAGAGAAGGGTACAATCGTCGTTTGTTTGAAGTTTATACATCCCGCCCAATAAAATCTCTAAACGACGCCATGTTACTATTACGTAATAATATCCAATACAATCTATAGCGTGGTACATAATATGCAAGAACTTCGATGAAATTACAAAATCCTGATTATGCAATTTGGCGACCTTTCCCAATTTTGGTTATTCAAAAATGCAGAATTGCGATAAGTTTAAAAAAAATTTAAGAAAATTATTATTTTCTGCCGTTGGAATTATTATATCATTCAATCCACAAGTAAATATATTTTTGAATTATTTCTAAGATCCTTGGAGTTCAACTATATTTTATTTTCCATTGTATATTTACATTATACTTTAAAATAAAATATAAAATATATCAAACGATAATTATAATTGTTAAATTGTTAAATCGAATTATCCATCAATTTATCAGGACGTTTTAATATCGATTCACCTAAAATCGGAAATTTATTAATTATACCATTCGAGATACGAAAATATAACGATTTAACCATTAAAAGTGGCGAAATTTTTAAACAGCGTTTTTTCGTTCACCTTCTTTTTTTAAAAGTTCTTTCAACGACGATACGGTTGCATCGTTAACTGCTTGCCTTATGACGTTGATACGTACATAAATTGTGAAACTTTACGAACTAAATGCGAACGTTTCGCTTCAATTTTCGTTTTAATTTTAATAAAATATAATTGATCATTAAATTTAAGGATGAAACCGTGGTGTATTTATATTTCAACAGTTTTTTACTTATTTCATTAAATAAGTAAAACGTTTAATTCTAATTATATATATTGGTGGCAAAGATCATGATTATAAATGCAAAAAATCTCGCTCAAAAATCATTTCGACAAAATTTCCTTTTTCACGTGTTCAATTTCAATCCTTTATTTATTATTTATCCATATCATCGAATTATCGAAAAAATAAATAATACTTTTTCTAATCGTCTCTTCGGAATTGTCAACTGTTCCTCGAGATTTTTGAGCGGGGGTGTATTTTTAAACGGCTAAGCGTCCAGACACGGTCCTTGAGCCAATGTTAATCGCGTTAATTACGGTCCAGACTACGGTTAAGTAGGAAACGATTACACGATTATTTTAGAATTAATATTACAAACCAATCCACCACTGTATGTAGACGCCCCTGATATTTTTCTTTCGTTGAGTCACTTCCCGTTTTACCCTTACGATTATTCACGAATTTGTTTTACTTTATGTTTTCCTCCAACGCTTCTTTTTAACGTAGCCGCATTGGTTTTTTTTTTTTTTAATTGATGAGCATGCCGCTATATATGACACACTTTTACGATGTATTATATCACTCATATCTGTCACCGTCTGTATAAATTTTAAATTACGAGTGTCTATCGATTTAAAAATCCTTCGAAAGTCGAACGTTTCGAATAAAAATTAAAAATCGAATTATATCTCGATCAATTTCGAAATTTAAAATATTTCTTAAAATATAATAAAGTAATATCTCAAGAAAGATTTCCCCCTTTTTCGAAAAAAAAAAAAAAAAGAAGAAGAAATCGAATTTTCGAAGGGCACTTAGATAGACATCCCGATGCCTGGCCTTAGGCATCGGCCACAGAACGACCTTCATCCTTCACCGATCTCCAATCTCAAATCATCTCTCTCTCTCTCTTCGTTCCATCGCTTCTCCTTTTCTCTCCTCTTGGATTTTCTCTTCTCAAATCCACGCGAGAAGATCATCCGTCCATCGCGTATCGTTCGTGTATTTCACAACCCTTCCATCCTCCTTTTCCCCCCCCCCATCATCCCATTTTTTTCACGGCCGTTGCTTCACGACGCTTCGTATTTGTCGTAGACGATTTTTTTTCTTTTTTTTCTTTTCTTTTCTTTCTTTTTTTTTCTTTTTTTTCTTTTGAGTTGCTAGCCCCTATCCTGTTCCTACTTTCTGTTCCAGATTTCGTACGAACCGTGGTTGCACGGTACGAAAGGCACCGAGAGCGACGAGGATGACGTAGCCGTCCGGCGGCTGCCGATTCACGAGAATAGCATCGAGAAGGATGTACACGAACGAACAACGTACACGAACAAACGAGAAGTTGTTTGTCGCTCGACCTCGAGGCGATTCGATTCGTAACGCGTCAGGGAGTAGAAGGATCGAAAAGACCAAGAAAGGATCATCATCACTGCCCGAGCAATAACGACGCTCGATTAAAAATCGTTCCGTCCCGAGTTCCATCCTGAGACCGACTGGAAAAAAAAAAAAGAAGCAAAAAGAGAGAAAGAGAGAGAAAGAGAAGGAAGAAGGACAAAAAAAGAGAAAAGTATCTCTCCCCGTTCGATCTCCCTCTTTCGAGATCAAAAAGACTGAATATCAAAGAGGAGGCAAGATGTTGGGAGTGAGTCAACCGGGAAACCCGCCCTCGAGCCTGCGACACTCGGCGAGTTTCTCTTGTTTGCAACGCGGCACCGCGAGCGAGGGGCACAGGGCGAGGACCTCGACGCTGCTCCAGCAACCGAGCCTCCAGCTGAGCAACACCCATCACCAATACACGCCCGGCCAGGCGTCGTCCCTGCTGCAAGGGCAGCCGAGCGGCACCGTTCAACACCGCGTCGAGGCGTTGGAAGCCGTACAAGACCAAGGCAACGATTACGGTTTCGTCAAGATACGTCCACGTCTGCGTAGCACGAACGCCACCCTCCACTACGAGGAGGAGCTGGCTGCACAGAAGAGCGCTGTATGGGACGCGTCGGCGTTCAGCGACCGCGAGTGCGACGCCAATTACAGGGAACACTCCTCCCTCAAGATCAAGGAGCGGGAAGAACACTCGCCCAAGGGTGGCGCCGCCAAGAACCAGAACCCGCTCAGGGGCGCCCTGATACTGTTCACCTCGACCTCCTCCTGGTGGAAGGCCAGGCAGAGGGAGGAGCAGCTGAACGCGGACCACCGCGCGGCGTTCACCGCGGAGCGAAAGTGGTCGAGCACCTCGATGGCGTCCCCCTCGAACGAGAGAAAGTGGCCCTCGGTGGTCACCTCGCCCACCAACGACAGGAAGTGGTCGGTGGGCAACAACGCTTTGACGTCGCCGGGTAACGAGAGGAAGTGGACCAGATCGTCCGTCTCGTCGACGGGGCAGCAGCAGGACAGGAAATGGCGGTCGCTCGGCGCCCTGTTGAGGGCTCCAACCTCCTCCCAGCCCGGCTCCCAGCACGCCGCGCAACACTCCCTGTCCCACAACATGAGCGTCTCGATGATCGAGGGCGACCACTTCAGGGACGATCCGCGCTGCAAGTCGACGCGCTACCAGCAGCCCACCTCGTACTCGGCCCGCGTGTCGCGCGTCAGCCGGGACATTTACAGGGAGAGCGGGTCGGAGTTCGGTCAGGCTGGGGGCAGGTCGAAGGTGAGCCGCAGGTTGTACCAGGAGGGAACGGTGGATTGCTTGGTGGACAGCACGGTGGAGGAGAGGCAGGCGAGACACCAGTTCGAGGAGGAGTGCAGGGGCCGCGCGAATCGGGAGAGTATCTGCAAAACGGAGCAGCAGCAGGCGGAGAGCGGCGGCGCGCGTAGCACCACCACGAGATCGAGCCGGGCTCAAAGCTTTTATCTTCTCGACGATTTCCTGCGGCCCCAGCCCCAACAACAGAGCAACAACAATAATAACAACAAGTGTATGCTCAACGTTTACCTGTCACCCTCGCACGCGGCTTCCAAGTCGTCGAGCAACGATCTACAGCTACACTCGGCGGCGGGTAGATCGGCCGACGTGAAACAACACCAGGTCGCCTCGCAGGGGAACGTGACGAACATCACTCCGCCGCGGCGCCATAACTCTAGCTCGGATAGCCTCGAGGTCGCGACCAGTCCGCTTCCGCCGCCTGTCCCGCCTCCGCCGCCTCAGGTGACCGCAGCCCGCGACAGGGAAAGGGCAGAGAATTTCAAAGAGAAGGACGTGTGCCAGTGCAAAGTGTGCTGGACCAATATGCAGCAGCAAAGATGTTTCGTAGAAGAGGTAAGTGGGGGGGAGGAGAGCGTGTTTGGATAATCGCCGATATCGCGCCTTCCTTATCGTCCTCCACCGTTATAATCATCTTTACGCGACTATCTCTCGTATCGCGTTTTATCCTCGCGGTTATTCTCGGAAGAGTTTTTTTACCGAGGGTTTCGAAGGGGGACGAGGATGGAAGGATATCTCGTTCAGAATCATTCGATTCATTCGGGATGATCGTTTTACTTTTATATTCAGACGCGGTAAATTCGTTCGATCCGATAATTGAATGAGAAAATAAATGGAAGAAGAGGGAAGAAGAGATGTGGAGAAGGAAATATCATAGATCGAGGAGGATTATGGAGTCCGCTACGAATTTTATTTTCGATCGATTAAAATGTATATTTAAAATATTTAGTTCCTTCGGGCAGATGGAGCTAAAGGCGATCGTACTTGTAAATAACGTACTTAATTCATTGAAAATCAAATGCAACTTTGTATTTGTTAAAAATTTTTAATTATAGATTATCCTGATTATTTCTTTCAGACTTTTTATAAATGTGACGTTATTAAAAGTATTAAGAGATAACAAATAATCGAGCTCGTTCGATAAAATCAGCGATACGTATTTGAAAATTGGTATCGAAGATATTTGCTGATTCAAAATTTCGTCCACAAAAACGAAAATATTGAGATGCAACTGATGGTACGAAGCCAATACACTTCCGCTAAGAGGAAATTTCTCCGAGGAAATATTTTCAGTCGGTTTGGAATATGCGGTCGATAAATCAAGCGACCCGTGCTTTTGCTTTTCAATTTTCTGCCGGCCAACGAACCTGTGTTTCGATCGCAGCGTTGCATTTACATAATTGATATCACGGTTTATCGATCTCGTTGAAGCTTTCAAATTTTATTAAATTGATTGTTAAAGAAAATTGATATCATCGAGTTAGGAAATAAATTAACCTAGGAAAATCACAATTAAGGAAACGATGAAAATTTGAAAATAATTAATTTTTTGATAAGAAATTTGAACTGTTTTTTAAAATTAGTTAAAATTGCAAACTGTATTTTCATTACTTTCTGATTTTTATTTCGAAAGTAATAAGTAAAATAATGACAGAATATAAAGAAAAAAAAGGTATTGGAATATTTAATGCCATATCGGAGAATATTCTCTACTATTATATTTATAGCCGTAATAGATGGAAGTAGATATTGATCTAGCACAAGTTTTTCGACTTAGAGAACATCTATCTTTTTTTTTTTTTTTATTACCAATATTAAATTATTATTATTTCACTTTTCTTTTATTCAAACTATTTTAAAAAAAAAAAACAACATTTGTAATTTTCATACAAACGTTTCAATCACATTACAACAAAATTATTAACGATTATTAATTAAAAATAATACCTTACCATAAAAATAAAGTTCATGTTACAAGACTATTGAAGACGGCGACGTTTGCCTTTTAGAATTAAAAACATATTGTTATTCGTATTTTTCAATATTCTTCGCAAATGTCATTTCTAAAGAATAAAAATTATACACGGATATTTCATATGCATTAAATACAATATAATAAAATACTTCGTTTCAAATATTTATCGTATACGCTCTCACTTTTAAAATTTTCACAAATGGATAAACAATCTCGTTATTATCCATTCTCCAATATTGCATCATTAATAACGTACACCACCTCGTCTAGACTCGTCATTAATTAAATTCGGGCAATTCGATTGATCGAGCGAATCTCAACGTTTCGTTTTAACGCGAGGGAGGAAACTCTGAAATGGCAATGATTTAACGATCGGATATATCGATACACGCAGCTTTGGGATCACTGATTTTACGAGTTCACACGCTTCACGGGTCGAGCGATACCCCGTCGTTGCGCTTATTGGACGAGATAAGGGACACGTGGCTGTTCAGTGGCAGGGTTGATTCACCGCTAATGTTCTCTAACCCAATTTACAGGCAGCAGAAAGCACAATTGTTAGTCGAACTGGTATCGTGGATCGCGTGGGAGGAAATAATTCTTTCGGAGTGAATAATTTAGAATTTAATAAAAGGTGGCGATGTTCTGATTTTTGTATCGCTTTGAAATAATTTTTTTTTTAGAACGTAATTCGATTTGGTAAAAATCGTGATATTTATCGCGAATTTTTATATTGTTTTAACGCAAAGAAAAGGTGATTTTCGACGAAATAAAATGATGATCCTGCCTCGAAATATTTTTGAATGAAATAAATTTTTAACGCAAAATTGAAACCAAAAATCATGATAACAATTGTTTGTGTTTGAATTGAAAATAAAAATGATTTAGTAGGAACAAAATTATACACTTAACATAATAACAATTGTGCACAACTCGAGATAGTGAATGTTTAATCAATTACTTCAAGTTTGCAAGTTATCCAATCTTAGAGAATGTTTTCTCTCCGAATGTCTATTGTGTGAAAGTAGACTGTTTCAGTTTACGTACATGGAATCCTGACTAGTTACTTAGGTATCTTTGATATCGAGCCTTTTAAGGAGATCCCTCGCGTTTAGGATACGCTTTCACAGTCCCTCGGAAGAGAATTATCACCGCGATTAAGTGAATGAATTTTCCGCGAAAGTGTAAACAAATGGATTCTCGCTTCACGCGAGATTACAAATGTAGATCGTAAAAAAAAAAAAAACAACGGTTCAAAGTTCTTCATCCACGAAGAAAAATGAATATGTAAATAATAAAAATTAATCGATCTAACAACAGTAAAATTTCTCCACCACTTTTCAAATTTGTTCTCAATCAATGATCCCGTGAAAATAAATGGAATTATAAAAGAAAGAAAGAGAATAATCTAAATAAATCCTATCCCCAAGAACCTGTATCGCGTGTGCAATCGCGTGGCTTCTCTCGTTTGTTAACTGTATCGAATGTTTGAATTAGGTTGCCGCCCCTGACCCCTTATTTTCGCCGCTCGTATCGAACGAGAGCCCGTTATTCTTGGGACGCAGTAGGGTACAGAGTGGCGGAGGAAGTCGTATTTCTATCCTTCCAGTATCTACTCTATTATTAGCAACCGCTGCAATGGCGGTGGACGCGGCTCGACTGGATTTCCGTTCGATTTTAAAACGCTGCCGCATCTCCTCCCGTGGCTTCTGTATCTCCCCCTCTTCCTCCATCTTTCCTTCTCTCTATCTTTTTCTTCTCGAACGGCCAATCCCCTCCACGTATGCCACTCTAGGCCTCGTTGCGGATTTTCATCACGTAGCTGCGCTCCACGATGGTGGAGTAATTTTTACCACGCCGCGTCAAACTCTCTCCAATCCACGAATTTGCACCACGGTTTATACGGCTTTTGGGTGTGTAAGTTGGAGCGTAGGAAGCGCGAATAAAGCGATCGAGATGGGATAGCTTACTTCTGTTTTCGATAGGATCGAAAAAGAGAAAAAAGAGAATAAAAGGGGAGAGGAGAAACCAGGAGGAGATGCGTAATCGAATCGAAAAGTAGAATCGCGGTATTTGAGGCATTCCTTTTTTTTTTATATCATTAATAAACAAGAAAGATATGTTCGATCGAGTTATTTACTTTCTATGATACACTTTCGTTTCTTACCGCATAAACAACGAGGCATCGACATTTAAATTGCCCGCCCCGGTATTTTTATCGTCTCCCCGTGTTTCCAAGTTTCCATTCCAGCAAAACATTGTACACAGAGTGTTAATATATACACGTGAAATTGATATACAAAAAGATCTCAAGTCAAGACTCTTATTTATCAAAATATAAAGCAATTCAAGTTTTTCCCATCGAAATCATTTCTATTTCCATCTATATATTATCTTGTCTCACTTACGAGCAAAAATAAATTGCTTACATTATTTTCAAATCGTTCCATCAAACAATTGTTCAACCATGTCTCGAACAGATTCGAATATGAATGATCAGCCAAGATTCTTTCCGTCTAATTAAAACAGAATCTCTCGATATCTGAAAAACAAAAAAAGGAAATTTAAATCATATAAGTTAAATTTCATTTCTCCGAGCTCTTTTGTTCTCAACTTTTGTTCGTGCTCTTTGTTCGTGACGATTTCACCGGCGATGCGTGAAACCACCAACCGTCTCCCTTCGTTCCCCTTCCATCCTCCTTTACCCTCTGTTCTATTCCTCCTTCTCCCCCTCTCTCCTTCTTTCTTACATATATATATATATATATATTTTTTTTCCCTCTCGGTGTAATATCAAGACATCCTAGGTCAGGGACGCATAACCTACGCATCCGGTTCAAGCGGCAGCCACTTCCAGCCGATGAAAGGTGCTACTAATTCGCTATCCGACACGTTGAATTACCGCGTTCCTTTTTTTTTTTTTCCTTCCCATCGTTCGTTGAGAATGCGGCGTTAAATTCGTTCCTTGTTTCACCTTTCTCGTGGTATGCCGTCAAATTCGAAACTAGAAAAAGAGGTATGGAATCGTGTCGTCAGAGGAGAGACAGATACATTTATTTTTAACGGATGATCTTGAATTATATTGAAAAAGAATTGTGAGTGAAGTAAGAGATTTTATTAGAGATTTTGGATTGTCGCAATGAGATTCGATTCGTGTCTCGCTTTTGCTTTTCCAACAATTTGTTATTGAAATATGAACTATGTAGGATTTCTTTGCAAATGAATCAATTATATTTGAAAGATCGATGGAAAAGGAGAGGAGTTCGTATCGTGTTTGTAAAAATTATAAATTTAGAGGAGAATAAATTTTACAAGTTTAGAAGTGATTGAATTGTCTTGATGATTAATAGTATTCACTTACCTCCCTTGTTTTCTATGTGTTGTTAAGAATATTTTTTATAAATATCTAATAATAATTTGTAGAAAATAATTTTACGTAATTGAACGTCGATCTTGTTCTTAAGGTCTTTTCACTTTCGTATCTCGATGACGAATGAAATATACGCAGAAGATACGAATTGTAGACAAGACTCGATAAGTTTCTATAGACGAATATTTATTTTGTTTGGAAACAATGTGGAATTTGGTTCCCAGAAGTATTATACCGCTTCCCTACTAGATATTTATTTACTTTTAATAAGGAGTAATAGTACGATTCATAATAGTATATTAAAACGAATGTTATAAATGTTATAAACTTTGCTAATAACAATAATTGTTTTAATTTAAAAATAAAAGAAAGTTGTTGAATATCAATATAAATGCTTTGAAAAAAATTTTAAGATCTGAAAGTTATCTTTTATTATATCTTTTATTTAAAGATAATAAAAGTGAGGCGATTATTCTGTTTAGAAATGAATTAATTTTTAAAAAAATATCCTTACCTTCATTTTCAGTGAAGCCAATTTATTTATTCACTTATATACACATAGATGGGATTGTAGAAAATATGGAAAAATAAGAATTTGAGAAATGATTCGTGTCAGTTGTTGTCCTGTATTATCAAATTAGGTTGAAGTGAACTTGAATTTGATATGAGGTACGGAAATATAGACGTAACTGGATCTACCAAATTACATCGAGCTCTGTTTTAGTAGGTCACTGAGAAACTTGCAACTTCAACAAACAAGAGAACTAACATAGATCTTGTATTATTTCAGAGAAATCATTTTTCCATAATGTAAGCTAATAAAATTCGTTCGTAATTACTTAAATATTTTCATTCGTAATAAAACTTGTGCCATCTCTATAAATATATATCTATTTATATGTTTTTCAAATTTTATTTTTTTACCCAATAATCTCTAATTTTTAAAGTCAGATATTGTAATTTCAATTTCAACTTTCATCTTTATAAGCGAAGAAAATTTCCTTATAAATTTAAATTATAAACTTGAAAAATATTTAGATTAAAATATATATATTTAAGTGATTATAATGGAGAGTCATACAAAAATTATGCTATTAGATTCTAAGTATAACAATTTTATTAAAAGTTGATTCTATTAATCAATTAATTTTCATCATAACGTTTCTTATTGGACAAATAAAGCTTTCCAAAACTTCTTAAACTCGTTTTATCTATCGAAACACATTAGATATATCTCCATCTTCATCCCTGCTCCATCCCTTAAATTATACCTTTAAATTGCCTCAAGGATAATTTCCATTGACCTTAAGCTATGAATACGTTTTCAAAATATTCAATTATCCTGAGCTCCAGACTAGTCTTTCATTTTCTGTTCCTATGCAAGACTTAATAATTCTGTTTCCATTGTCCTTTAATCTTCTATCTTCAAACGAAGAAAGAAATTACTCTCTTTTTCTTCCTTCCAGTGCAAAGGTAATAATTTTCTTTACATCATTCTCTAATTCTTTTCTATCTTTTCTTTCTCAATCAAAAATTATTTTCTTCTAATAATACCAACATAACACTTGAGACATGCTATCTTACTTGAAAGCATCTCAATCTACTACGTATTATCGTCGTATTTCTCTTTTATCGAGTCATATCTGATTTATTTTTATATGTCGCAAAGGTTATTTTCAATGTTTTTTTTTACTATAACAGCATTGCAAAAAAGAATAAAGAGAAAGAGAAAGAAATTAACTAAGAAAGATAGTGCGAAATATTTAAATTAGACTTATCGTTAGTTTAAAACTTTAATCACGATTCTTATTCTGTTCTGTTAAAAATATTCAATTATAAAATCAAATACTCAATATTTTTTAAGTTTAATGATTAAACTTTTATTACTACGAAGTTTATGAATTGTGAAAGATGACATCACAATAGTGAAACTTTAATTATTAAAATTTTTCTTTCAAAATTAAATTTTTTAAGGGTATAAATTCCTTAAAAAATTCCTTATTATTATAAATATATGGCGGAAATATATTCATATGCATATTCAATATATTTTATTCCATCACTAGCCACGTTTGACGATCCCGCTCAGTTGACTCACGATGACGATGGCAAAAGCCAACGACAACTGAAGTCGAAGAAATGCTTGCGAGTACGAGAATGCGCTCAGGTATGCGGCAGTCGCGCGTTAAAAACATTCGCAGCATGGAAGTCGACCGAGTGAAGAAAGATTGTTATTTTAATCTGTTTAACTCTCTATAACGTCATTCAATTCGAAAATTACGTATATATATATATATCGTATGTCTAGACAGAGCAATAATACAACTACAAAAATGTCAGAAGATGAAAATGATAATTGGAAAATAAAAATATTATTAATGCAATAAGAATTTTTTATTATAAAATATCATTATTTTTAACCATAGCTATCAACAATTTCATCATATTTCTTCATCAATATTTAATTTTCCATCTAACGGTACAAATCAATCACTCTTGGATATTTTTATTTCAACAATAATAACGCATAATCGTATCGAAATTAATTTAAAATCAAATCTCGCTCCGCATGACCGAAATTCCATTGGTCATTCATTGCGCATGCGTAATCGAATGCCCGCCAATAATATATCAGTATTGCACACTAGTTTCTAGTGACTAGAGGGACAATAACGAACGTTCCGTTGTCTTCGGGAAAAATTCCCACGGTTGCAAAAGGGAACATCGTCGTCAATCACTCAAAGTATACGCGTTTTCAATCGATCTCTTCTTTCGCGATATGCTCGTAGCTGAGTAATCCTCCACGTTTCGTCCGAACATATATCAAGGCATAATATCTTCATGTAAGAGTTATCTCGTGAGCATTTCTTACGCCGCGGGAGCACGTAACACGTTACTTAGATATATTGGTATGAAATTGGACGTTTCTGGAAAATTATTAAGGATGATTTTTAGAAGTATGTATATATAAACTGTAGGTAAAGAACAAATAAAGACGATTTCTTTATGCACGTTATTCAGTTAAATTAGTTGAAGGTGTAAAATATCGATTTGATGTTGAGGTTATGTTTGTTATTTATTTACTTAAGAAATTGATAGATATTTTATTTTGTTTGTTTGTAAATGTTTGATTGTTAAGTTTTTTTTGAAAAAAGTTATTAATTTATTTCATTGGATTGAAATTATTGAAAAATTGATCGAATATCGAAACTAATATGAATTTTTAGATTGATAAGTATATTTTATTCTGGAAATATTTATTTTATAAATTTATACTTTTGTTAAACTTTTATGAATGATATCTGTTATGATTTCTGTTATTTTATTTACTGTTATTTTCTGATTATATTAAAGAATTATTATATGATAAAAATTTAACGTGAAATAGATATTATATTCTGATGTTTTTTCGTTAGTGGTTTTATTGTAGGTTATGTATCGATTGTTGAAATTTAATTGTGGATATTCTTCATCTAATTAATTTTATTTATTTAAATAACTAATTTAATTCTTCTTCAATAATTCTCTATCTAACAACAATTGAAATTTTATTATGTACAATAGCTTTTTCTTTTATTATTATTGATCGTGAATATTTCTTGGTGAATTATAGATTTATAATTAATTGTTTAATTATATTATTATCTATCTAATCAGTTGTTTTAAATAAAGTTTCAATTTTTAATTTTCAATTGAATAATGATAAATAAACTAAACAAATAAAATGAAATAATAAAAATAGTTTATAATTAATTAACAAAATTTTACATTATTTCATTTTCATTTATCAATAACAAAATATTCATAATATTTACAATTTATATTCAACATATTTAACTCACACAAATATAAATCAAATTCATTGAAAAAACTTATAAATAATATGTAATAATATCATAATGATTGTTTAATATATTCTATTCTCTTTTTTCTATTCTTATATAACTACATTGAAATAAATAAATGTTGAAATTTTTCATTATAAAATTTTTTAATTACAAATAAAAATTATGATTCTTTCTGAAGTTACGAATTAAATATATTAGAAAAACTAATGTCTATTTTACACATGAGTTATTCGATACACATGTTTGGAAAAAAAAAAGAAAAAAAATAATCATGTTAAAAGATATTATAGATGAGATGAATAAAGGTATGAGATACATATAATTTTCCAGATCGGAGGAAATGTATTCTTATGGAAAGGGATTCACGGTTGAGACTCACGATGGATTTTGAAACGTTCTGTAGGGCAGAAACCAAAGGAGACAGGGACTATATAAGATAGAAGGCATAAGATAGACCCCTGATGGCGATATCTCGCGGCAAGATCTTCAACCGGTCATGTCTGTCGTTGCGTCGAACCATGGTGATTTATCATTATTGAAATACGGACCATTTGAGCCATCGCTGCCCACTCTACCTATGCTTGTGCACCACGGTTTTCCATTTGAATGGTTCGTGGTTGGAAAGTTGACTTTGTGTTTCCGTTTTTCGTTACATTAGTTTCTTGTTTTTCATTTTTTTCGTTATTACATTTGAAACGAAATTTCATTTGTTACTTTCTTAAATTTTATTCGTTCAGGATATTTTTTTTTTAGAGAAATTAAATTAAATATTATGGATATACATAAATATTACATAATATATGAATATTATTTATAAGTATGATATATTAATTAAGTATATTTAAAGATGTATATAAATATTTTTAATAAAGATAAAAAATATAATTTAAATTATATTTAAATATCATTCAATATTAATATGGTATAATATAATATGGTATAGCATAATGTGAAAAAAAAAGTTTGTCTTCTAAAACGCAACATAAATTTTGATTGCATGGATCATAAATTTTTTTCCTGGCCAGACAGATGGTGTTTAACCATGAATTCAATTTTGCCCAAACCGGATTTTGAGCACGTGGTAATGTTCCGCTACAAGTAGATAACATGTTAAAACGCATTTCGCTTCCTTTCGCGATCAAATTCCAATTCTTTGTTTTATATAATCAAAAAAAGACAAAAAATTCTTGCATAATATGTGTTTAAACATTAATTTTTTATATTATTAGTATTTACAAGAATAATAGTGTCTTAAAATAATGAAAAAGAACATAACCTAAAAAATGGCAAATATTTCTAAGTAATGTCTAGAAAGTTGGATTTATATTAAACGAAATTGTGTTTGAAAGTTTCTTCCTTTATCATACGAAAGTTTGAAGAAGTTTCGTTAAGATTCCAAAAGTTTAGGAAACAATCCGTGAGTTAATGAGTTGATGGTGTAGTGTAAAATTTATTTCGAAGCTTGTGCATGTTCTATATGAAAATCGCGTATAATATGTAAACTTGCCAATCGAGATATTCTTGAGGTTATCAGCCTGCAACGCATTGCAATGGGTAGCGGATGTTTTTAGAAAATAGTTCAAGTAACTGAGAAATAGGATGGAATATGTACTACGAAACGTGAGGTAATTTTAATTTATCAAATAACCAATTTCTGTTCTTACGAATAAAACTAAACAATTTATAAGAACAATAAAAATATTACTTGTCAATCAGAAATTAATTTGAAACTGTAAAAAACTGTTTTATATAATAAACATTGATAAAAAAAACAATTTTAAAACTTTCCTTAAAAATATTTAAGAATTAAATGTATGAATATTATAAAAGATGATGTACAATATACATAATTATATGTATTATTGCATATAATGAAAATAATAAACGAGGAAGAGTAATTAAGTTGAATTTAAAGTTGAATTTTATATTATAAAATTAACAAAAAAGTATGTAAAGACCTATTTAATAATTTTATTATTTATTATTTTATTTTCTTAAAAGAAAAAGATTTAGTGATCATAGTACAAGTTTGATTTTCGTGTGTATAAGAAATGAAATTTGCACGCTCGTGTGAACAGTTGTTCAGTCGGCAAACCATGCGGGGAAATATCCTTTTAGGATTTTTTTAAATTGCGGTCAGTGCGTTAATCATCTGATAAACGAGACTGGCCAAAGTTCCACTTGTTAAACCGCAAAAACCAGTGTCGTCCTTGTTAGACAACAGGATCACGAGGAAAAAAAAAGATAAAAAGAAATGAGTTTAGCAGCAAGAAGGGCCACGAGTCAGGCTACGACTTGTTGAGACGTGTTTAAACTTGTCGCGAATAGTGTCGCATCACAGATGATTGAAATATGGTTAGAAATCGTGTTAAGCATTTTATTATTATCTTGTTTTTTTAGAATTTGTTGTCTTTTTTTTTATAAACGCTATAAGAAATTTTTATATAGTTGAAATAATTTCTTGATATAATTTTATTATATTAATTTGATTTAAATTAATATGAATATCTGATCAAAGAAAAAATACAGAATATTATTTTTATTGATAAGCATTAAGCATTAAAAAATATAAGAGCATAAAATTATTCAAATAAAATTTTTTTCTGGAATTAATACAGAAGAATTTATAAAAGATTTTTCCTTTTTCTTTAAATGTATTTTTTTATTTTCATTTGAATCCTAAATACAAATAATTTTTATTCATTATAATATGAATTATATCATATATAGTGAAATCAGTATATTATGTCTATATGTAATGTCAATAAATTATATGCATATATACAGTATAATAAATCGTAAATTATTATAAATAATTAATTACGAAATAGAGAATAATGACATTAATTATCAGAAATTAAGGAATTTTTGGCTTTTTCCCAGTAACATGTATTTATTTTATCTACTTCCTTTTTCACAGCTATAGATGTAGCAGATTCCTGTAATGCGACTATATTATCGACGTACAGATTTCTGTATTACCGACGCCACATATAATTTGCTTTTTAAACCGATAAGATGACAGCACAAACAAGATATAGAATAATTGTGACAAGAACTTTTTCGTGTTATAATTTGGAGGTTATCTATCTTCTGTTAATATAAAAAACAATAATAATTAATTTAATAAATGTAGCGGTAATAAATAATTTAATATTAAAATTAAAACTTAATTTTATATTAATATTCATTAATGTTAATAAATATATTAATAATATAAATTAATTTTTTTGTATGTTGTAAAGAGTTTGTATATATTTATACTTCATTTTTTTTAAAATCATATATTTTTAAATGCATAAATAAAATATTCATAAGAAATAAACTTCCTCTTTTAAAAGAATAAACATCTTTATTCAGTTTATTACACCGTACTTTGACAAATTGTAAAGCCTTGAGTTTTGTCTTTGTTCCCTTTAAGATTATGCGTCGGGCCCACATGATCATGTAAAAAATCGAACGTACAGATCATAAGAGCTTATCTAAATGGAAATCGTGTGAAAACATGCAAACAATTCATGGATTATGTTCGT